CATAACCGTCACTCAGGCTTTTATTATATAGATAATGGTTCTCTGAATCAAAATAAGGACAGGGTAGGGACTACCATAATCATCGATTAGAAACTCCAAGGTTTGTGCCTTCAACAATGAAGTGCTGGCAGGATCTATCAGAAACAACTTCTGAAGAACTCTGGAATCTTGAAAAATTACAGCACAAAATAAAAACTTAGCCCAATAGAAAATAACCCAACAGAAGGCATAGTGACTAAAAAAGCAGCTGCTTTCAGGAGAGTCCTGTGCAATTCCCTGCCCACCATTTCTCACACCCCAACGTCAACAACAGCATGATGACAGCAGCCCACACTTATTTATTAATGTAGGCTAATAGTGCCAGAGGAAACATTACTTTGAATACCTTATGGCCTCACCAAACCTTTCTGACTACGCCCTAAGAAACCTATACATGAATGTGCCTTTGTTTCACCCTTGGGAGAGCTGTCTGGGAAGCTTTTAGATAAACATATTTAAGTACTAACTTCAACAATAATCAGGAAAGCTTTTAAATATTACCACAAAACTAATCCTTGATCTCAGTCTGGTTTTCACTCTTGCCTTCAAGCTGTAAAGTGAAGACTAAGGCACAGAGGTAAATAGCTGGCTAAGCATTCGAAACTGCTAAAAAGCAAAAGAGAAAACATGTCTTACCTTATACTTTTGGACCAACTCTCCCTCTCTTCATGTCCACCAATTTCTCCCTTTGTACCCTGTATACGTTCTGATGTTAGTCCCTCAAATAGAAAGATGGCTAGGATTGAAGTCAAGGGTCTGCCCATGCCCAAGAATAGACATGCTGCTCCGTTGCATAGACAGAACTCATTAATTCTCATTACTCTGGCCTATATTTTTTCTGATAAACCTTACTACAGCTTAGCTGTTGACCTGCAATTTAGAAATGTATATGTAAATTACACAGACTGGCAGATTAAATACCTCTCTCTTTAGAACCATAAGAAATAAATCACAGCTCCTAAATGAATTATCTGAGTTATTCACATAGATACCCACACCAAGTGTAACCATGTCACAGGACAAGCCAATACTATCTAGATTGCTATAATTGCTTGTTGGATTTCATCACTGTGTTCATCATGGCAAAATGTCCACCATCAGAGACTGGGAACAAAGTAAGTAATTCTTCATTTTTGACCAAGTTGTCTCCAGATTGGGAAGGGAACAGCACAAAGGTTACTGACTTCACCTTATCCAGAAAGTTTGGGTACATCAAACCTTTGAAATCTTCTCTAGGTTATTGTCAGGGATACCTCATTGATGACCACCTCAGGTTATGGGGGTTGCTGCTCTACTCCTAGGTAATCTGTAGTCTAATAATGGTACACTCTGGCATTTTATACCCCAATAATAAACACAAAGAAACTAAAAAAAAAAATCGTATTTATCACTGAAACAAAACAATTAAGATACTTTGGAATAATCTTATCCAAGAAGGTAAAAGATCTGTGCTCTGAAAACTACAGGAAATTGAAAAAAAAGAGATAAAGGAAGACATAGACAAGTGGGAGAATACACTGTGTTCATGGATTTGTAGTCAACATTATTAAAATGGCCAAACTACCCAAAGCTCTCTATAGATTCAGTGCAATCCCTATTAAAATCCCAATAGTATATTTCACTGACCTAGAACAAACACTCCAAAATTTATATGGAATCAAAAATGATCCCAAATAGCTGCAACAACCTTGAGAAAAAAGAACAAAGTAGGAAGAATCACAATACCAGATATCAAGTTATACTACAAAGCCACTGTTTTCTAAAAAGCCTGGTATTGGCACAAGAACCGGCATATCAATCAATGGAACAGAACAGAGGACCCAGAAATTGACCCAAGGCATTATGCTCAACTAATGTTTAACAAAGGAGGCAAAAGCATACACTGGAGTCAAGATAGTCTCTAAATGGCATTGGGGAAATTGGAGGGATACATGCAAAACAATGAAACTAGACCACTAACACAACACACAAAAATAAACTCAAAATGGATAAAAGATCTAAATGTAAGTCATGAAACCATAAAAATTCTAGAAGAAACCACAGGCAACAAAATCTCGGATATCTCTCATAGCAATGTTTACATATACATTTCCTAGGGCCACGGAAACTAAGAAGAAAATAAACAAATGGGACTACATCAAAATAAAAAGCTCCTGCACAGCAAAAGAAACCATCAACAAAATGGAAAGGGAGCCCACTGTATGGGAGAACATAGTTAGCAATGATACATCTGATAAATGGTTAAAATACTAAATATATAAGGAATTCATATAACTTAACAACAGGAAGACAAACAATCCAATTTAAAAATGGACAAAAGACTTAAATAGACACTTCTCCAAAGTGGATATAGAGATGGCCAAGAGACATATGAAAAAATGCTCATGGTCTCTAATCATCAGAGAGATGCAAATCAAAACAACAATGAGATACCACCTCACACCTGTCAGACTGGCTATCATCAACAAATCAACAATGACAAGTGCTGGAGAGGATATGGAGAAAAGGGAACTCTCATGCACTGCTGGTGGGAATACAGACTGGTGCAGCCACTGTGGAAAAAAGGATGGAGTTTCATCAAAAAATTAAAAATGGAACTCCCATT